GCTCCAGAGCAGTGGGGGGTTTCCAAAAACATTTGGAACCTCTTCTGTAGGTGTGGCCTGCTTTCCGGGTCCACTGGTGGAACCTCTTCTAACTGGTTCGGTAGATTTGACGAACCGGTTCTACCGAATAGGTGCGAACTGGTAGGAACCCACCTCTGCTCCAGGGCCTCCCAGTTGTGGGCAAGAGAGGGAGTGCTTCTAATGAGGTTCGTTCAGATTGCGATGGCTAAAAGAAACAAGCTGCGACTGAGTTCTCAAACTCAACAGATTGTTCCAAGGCGAAAAAGAATCCCCAAATCATTGTGCCAACCTCATCTCAAAAGTATAGAATGTTACTGTATGCCAAGCGATCAATATTGATGATAACCCTAAACCCAACTCTCTTGAGCACGATGGTCTCACAACCGGACATGGGTCAAACCTCATAAAATTAGAAATTGGCCGCTTTGATCTCTGTCGATTGCAACGCTCTTAACCCTGCAGGATTTCCCCCCCGAAGAGATAGGACAACATTTGGAATGGTTATAGGGTTTCCTGCCTGAGCAAGGGGGTTGGACTAGAAGACCTCCGAGGTCCCTTCCAGCTCTGTTATTCAATAACAACTCGTAATACTGGAATCGGTTAACCATTTCCTGCACTCAAAGCAAAGCTTTATTAGGGATTCATCATTTAAATTTCACAACAAGTTTGCAATACGACGGATGATAAATGCAAACCTCTTACTTCATTCAAGAAAGGGGTAAGGACGTGATAGCCGGTTCTCCACCAGGATTTTTCGTTGCGAAGCGATGTGTTTGTGAAATGTGTTGTGCCCGGTTTTAATGACTTTCAGCCACAGTGGTTAAGCAAATCATGCAGTCCTTAAGCGAATCCCGCTTCCCACCCACCCTCCACACACCGCATTGACTTTGCGTCTCAGAAGCTGGTTTAAAGTATGACCGACCTTATTTCAAAGTCCTCCTATATCTCCATAATGGCCTTGAATGCAGACGCCAATGTCTCCAGGAGCAGAATGGGAAGGGAAAAGGGCTTATTGTATTGTTATTTGTAAGCAGTATATATTGGCTGGGAGGCTTCTGATCAGGGGTGGGTTTCAACTGGTTCGCGGCAGTCCCTGCGATCTGGTTGGTCGCCGAACCCGGAAGTAAGTAACTTCCGGGAACGGCGAAGGGCCCCCCGCGCGCACGCCCGCGCCCGCTCCTTACCCGGTTTTGATGAATTCTGCGCTTCCACGCATGCTCAGGACACATACAGCGCCTGCGCGATCCTCCAGGAGCAGCTGGAGCATCGCACAGACGCTAGTATGCATGTGGCGCTGCACGCCTGCGCGAGGACGCCGCACACGTGTGCGAGGACGCCGCCGGCCTCATTCCAACCGAACTGGTTGGAACGGGGCGAGAAACCCACCCCTGCTTCTGATGTTGTATGTGCCACTTTATGACTAATTGACACTAGTATCGCTTTCTAATGCAAGAAACAGTGGATGGAAACTAATCCAGGAGAGAAGCAACCTCGAAGTAAGGAGAAATTTCCTGACAGTGAGAACAAGGAACTTGCCTCCGGAAGTTTTGGCTGCTCCATCACTGGAGGATTTTAAGAAGAGATTGGACCACTATTGGTCTGAGATTGTATAAAATCTCCTGCTTGACCAAGGGGTTTGGATTAGAAGCCAACCGAGGTCTCTTCCTCGATCTCTGTGGCTGCTCCAGCCCTCTGGAATGATCTCCCCGTGGAGATCCGGACCCTTACTACCCTCCCGGCCTTCCGCAAAG